TTTTTATACTTAATTTGTATGTTATCAAGTTATGTATATACTTGTTTTAACTAGAGAAGTGGATGTATTTTTTATACTTAATTTGTATGTTATCAAGTTATGTATATGCTTGTTTTAACTAGAGAAGTGGATGTATTTTTTATACTTAATTTGTATGTTATCAAGTTATGTATATACTTGTTTTAACTAGAGAGACCCAGAGTGTGGCTAGAAACTGAGTGAATTCACTCAATTGTAGAAATGTGATCACAATCTGCGAGTCGCGGGATCGGAACACGTTCGCCTTTTCAGCCATGGGAGTATTATAATATGACAGTAAATCCTACTATTCGTTGGTAAAGAGTGACCCAAGAATTGGTGTGGGTGTGGTTGATTAATTGTTTTCCCTCTGGTATATCAGTTCAAGGTCAGTTGCGGCTAGTTCAGTAGTTCTGGAGTAGTTTTGCGCAAAATCCGTCAAACAAACAAACTATGTCTATGCAGCCGCGTGTGAAACTATGTCCAATCATTCCTGATACTCGGTTAAGAGTAGCTGCACAATAGGCGGCTAGTTGCTCTCATTCTGGTTAGCAGTTCTAAAGTATGTATGGCTAAACAGTTGGCCCATGTATCGTATAAGGTGCTATTCCAGAACAAAATAGTGAGTACAAAGCACTTCATTTAATAACCTACAATAATTTACTTTTCTCCACTGTTTCTAATAATTATTTTGGCTTAGTCTTTGAAACATATGTCTGTTCCAATCATGTGGTTGGCACCAACGCAAACTGTGCTGAGATATTTTGTATTGTACATCATTTAATTTAATAAATATACATTCAGAAGGTTAACTACACTTTATAAGACGATATTCTAGGTCCCATAATTCCTCTGAGGTTACTTTCTCCATCCTGTATTGTGTAAGTCTTGAAATCATTCATGATTATGCACCTATTACCTAACGCCACAATTTCCAATGTATCAAACTTCTGCAAGGACCACAAGGTCAATATGAGACGACACGCCTTCATACATTTTCTAAACTGTAGGTGAACGTAGACTTCCCAAACCAAGAGCAAAAATCCCCATTAAAGTTACCATGGGAGGGCTTGATAAGTAGATTTTCAAGCGGTATTGTTTTATTCCCAGTTTATCTGTCATCTTTCTCAGGAAAACTATCGTTGATTTTGAGGATGGGATGGAAGCCTGTGAATTTTGGGTTTGAGAACTTTCGTCAACTTCAAATGTTTGTTAACTATCTTTTTGTGAGTGTTAGGAGGAAATTTGACCTTCAATGCAAAAGCTTTTGGGATTGGAGGGAGGATCTATTTCGTAACCACCACATTCAGTTTGCAGATAAAGGTGTTGTTTTTCCTTAGTAACTTAAGATGTCGTTTCGGAGTCCGTTGCTGTGCGAGATTTTTCATTTCCTTGGAGGAAATTGAGGTTTGCCTTTTCATGTTCTTTGGATCTCCATCATTTAACAATCTCGCTTTATGAATATTTCTTTTTTTTTAATGTTAATAACTACTCTTTTAATTCATAAGTCTACTTGTTGCGAAACTGTACTGTCGAATAATCGGGTACTCAATAAGCAGGTGCTACATGTTGCCCATACTCCATAAATTGCCTCTGTGGCTTTATGGCACTGCATTATTACATTCAAGTCTTTTTTATAAAATGCATTTAACCTTCTCAATTTGTGGTAGTGTTCTTATATTATTAGCTTTTTCTCTTGTTAAAGATGATTCTTTCTTTTCCATTGCAGGAAATTGCTGCCATTTTAATAAGTTTTGAAAGACACGATGACTGGTTGTCCAAAGAGGTGAAAATCAGGTATAGTATCTTACAATTACTTTCCTGAATCCCAGGGATATAAATTACAAGGTTGCAGTAAGATGAATGTTGTGGGCCCAGTTTATGACAATATTATTGAGGTAATTTAAAGTTATCTTTTGTTAATATGCGTTATACATTCAATCGCAGAGGTGTAACCAATAACAAGTTAAAAATGTGATGAAAAATTATCGACATCACTCCGCAAGATGAACAATTGTACATATAAAAGCACCCTTTCTATCTATATGGAATTGTGCCACAGAAGACTGAAATCCGGCCTTAGCTATGGTTTTACACTAATCTAGCTTTGAGGTGCAAGGTCAGAATTTTACATAAGTATGGCATTATACTTTTGAAGGATCTACAAAGGATCTGTACTACAGCTGCTCCCAAACTATCTAACTAATTGCATGGTATTCAGTTTAAGAATATTTTCACATGGTCCTACTATGGAAAGTGTCGCCAGAATGCCCTAGCTTCTACAAGATTCCATGCCCAACTGCTCCGAAATTTTCCTATACTTCTCGATATCTGAATTATTTTACCTTTAAATGGAATACTTAATCATCTGGTACCCACCTTCAATCTTGGACCTAACTCGAGCTGTAGATGCAAATTTTGTTGAACACACGAAGAGCACATTTGCAGTCAGTCTAACAAATATGGGGAAAGACAAATACATTGCAGCATCCAAAATAAGCATTATAGTGGGTGAAAGTCTACAAGGTGCCACAATGGCCAAGACATTTTCGTTTGCTCTAAGACATCAGTCATTCAAGTTTATTAGCAATGGGAAAAGGTGAGTGAAATGTATGCTACGAGGGAAAGTCGTGGCCACAAACACATAGTGACAGAAAAGGAGGAAGTCAGTTAGACAAGATGGTAAAGTTCAATCATCATCAAATAATAAACCAACTGAGAGAGACATTCAATGTAGGGCAATTATCATCCATGTTCTACTGTATCTTTGAAGAACGTTTCAACAAATGGAGTATAACATTAGGAGACCATTGTGTAAACCACTCATCTCAGTTGAAACAAAATAAATGCCTCGAGTGGTGTAAGAAGCACGAATTAATAAGGGCTGGCAAAAATGATGTGGTCAACGAATTATGCTTTATCCTTTATTCACAGATTTGAAGAAAGCCACGCGAATTAGTTGACCCCGCTTGTGTGGTCCCAACTATCTAGGCTTGTGTTAGTATATTCATGGTTTGAAGAATATTTTTCTGATATACCCTGGACTTCTTGGCCCTTGTAGAAGTCAGAATGAATGTCACAGCTTATCTTAGCATCATTTCTGATCATGTGCATCCAGCGATGCTTCACGTGAACTCTGATGGGGACAGCTACTTCGAAGGCGACAATGCTTCCATATACTTTACCAAAATTGTACTTACATGGTTTTAAACTAGTGAAGGAGACTTCAGGCATCTCTCAAGGCTACTACAGTCTCCGGATCTCAATCCAAATCAGCATCTGTGGATGAACTTGAATGATGCATTCGCCAGCACGATCTTCTGCCTACCTCATTCCACGAATTGTATACAAATTTAATAACTGAAAGGTGAAAAAATCACTCAAGACACGCTGCGTCATGTTTGTTATTCAGGCAAAAGATAGCCTAACCCGTTAGTAGGGGTAAGTCCTTATAAAGTGGCCAGCCAATGTGTATGTATATACGTAGTGGTTCTCACATGAACATTTTCTATTGAACAATTAGTGACAGTTAAAGTAGTTAGAAAAAGGAAGTCGTAATTAGATCAATTAGAGGTAAGAAATTTTAAAAGGAATAAAAATCCTCTGAATTATCCTTAAATTATCAGTTCACTTCTTTCTTTTTGAATTTTCAAAAAGCTGTCTCGGTTTCTTCAGTAATCAGGTCCGCACCCAAAAGCGGTTCTAGGATACACATAGGCATATTGAGGTGATATTTATACTTTTGTGACAAATGAGGAGCTGAATACATGTGTTCTACTATCTCATCACTTACTGGGCTGGATCACGAAACCGCTACCGGAATCTTCCTGGATGAGCCTACAAATTTACTTTCATACATCTATCATCCACGGTTATGTTGTAGTATTATTGAGCCCATCTCTTTCTTTGGCTCAATGATAAATTTGAGGGGTTATAATGCACAAAATCGGGTTTCTATACCAGCGGTGGGCAGAGCACAGATAGCCCATAGTGTAGCTTTGTGCTTTAACAACAAACAATCATAAACTTCCTTGTTCATGTCGATATGCATGAACATAGATTTACATTAAGAAAATCTAAAAAGTTATTTCTTATTTTGGCAAACAAATATCTTGAAGCCATTTATACCACCAGTATAAAGCAAATACAATAAAAGGTTAAGATTTTCGAAAACATTTATACTAACAGCAAATACAAAAAAGATTAAGATGAATTTCTTTTCCTCAAAATCATTCTGACATATTTCTTGTGATATTTTCTTCTGCGTGAATGCTTTCCTGTTTAGTTTATTTATTTGAAATACACATATATTATGTATAATAAAAAGTAGGTTCCTAAAGTTGAGAAATATGTCTACATTTACTTCAATGCACTAATAAAATCACTTTTGCCAAAACTGAGGAACGCGACCTAGACGAAGGCTTTTTCTTTAGAGTACTCCACTCTTTCATGAAGAACCAGTTTTTAGCTCATCTAATACCAATGTTTCAGAAACTTTATACCAAGATAACCCTAATTTTTTTATGAATGAATCTTTCCAGTTCAAAAATGTGGGCAGTAATACATTTAACCAGTGCTCGAAGAGGAGAGGGTAAGCGTACCCCCACTTCTGAATTCCCACTTCGAGCACTTCATTTAACACTTTAGTGATTGGGTGATTTCTTTAACTTCGTTTTCTAAAAACCTTTAACCTTCCCGCAAATAGAAAAAACAATAAAGTAATAATGTAACGATTGCTTCATTATTTTTAAGTTTTATGATTTATCCTTAATCGCCTCATTACTTTTATCACAAGTATCGTGATTTTCGAACTTAAGGTTTCTGAATAGCTGAGAATCAGATCCTAATGTTCTCAAATTTTTACCAGAAGAAAGCACATGTTCTTTTAATGTTCTTTATGATAATAAAAAAAAAGATTTAATTTGAATTTCCTCCTCAGGCCTAAAAGCGGTTCTATGCTACTCTACAGTAGAAAGCGGGTACGATACCGACGGGATGGTTACTGTTGGAAGAAACGCAGGGATGGGAAAACAACAAGAGAAGACCATATGAAACTGAAAGTTCAAGGAGCAGAGGTAAGCTGAAAGAGTTGTTCATTAAACTGGTTGTAGATTTTGTCTTTACTTCCAGGAATGAAATGAGGGGTTTTGATGTTATAAACTAAGTGTTAGGAAGTTATGTTGTAAAAGTTCCGTAAGATGTACAGATTCATTTAATATACCATGACGCGATATAGTTTCAGGTAGAAACTTCATTACATAGTGCAACACAAAACAGCGTCAACAAACACGAGGGAAACATGCCAAAAGTGAATTTCCATTACCTCAAATCGAATCTTATTTAGAACAGAAAACTGGTTAATGGTCAAATATAGATTACACTGTGGTCTGGCATGGCTTGGTGGCTAGGACACTCGACTCGCAATCTGCGGGTTCGAAGCCTAGCATTGAATATGATTGCCGTTTCAGTCGTGGGGGCTTATGATTTTACGTTTAATCCTAGTATTCGTTGGTAAACAGTAGTCTAATAGTTGGCTTTGGTTGGTATTGATTAGCTGCTTTCCCTGTAGTCTATTGCTTCAAAATCAGTAACGGTCAGTGCAGATAGCTCTCGAGTAGCTAGCTAACTTTTAGTGAAATTCATAAACAAAGACTACTCTGTAGTAAGCAGCTCTTCAGGTCTTCGTATGTTGCGAGCGAGCACCAAGTAGTGTTTTTTGTTTGTTATATATTATAATTAGTGATACTACTATAGCAAATACAGTAGTCAACACTTGATAGGGATCATGTTTTATTTTGAGTATATGACAAATACCTACCACAATGGTATTTATAGATTGAACACTTTAGGAAGAAAAACACCTGGATAAGTCATTTTTACACTTTATTAAATTCTGTAACATTTAACTTAGATAACAGAGCCTGGGGAACTGATGCACCCTGTGGTACAGTATTAAGAAGAAAAATTTCAAAATCAACAGTCATTGAAAGAAGTGTCCAATTCACAGTCAAAATGATTTCAGTAGTCTGTTTGACCACTTCAACCATTAATGACTGCTGTACAACGTCTGCTCATGATCAGAATAGCCAATCGTTATTGTTGAATCTGTTGCTATTCTTCAATAAGGGCAGGCCCCCCAGTGGCACAGCGGTATGTCTGCGGACTTACAACGCTAGAAACCGGGTTTCGATACCCGTGGTGGGCAGAGCACAGATAGCCCATTGTGTAGCTTTGTGCTTAATTTCAAACAAACAAACAAACAATAAGGGCAGATTCCTGGACCTGGAGCGTTCTTGGTGGGGCTTGACGAGCTTGTAGTCTTGTCTGTAGCTGCTCCCAGTTGGGCTCTATTGAGTTCAGGTCAGGAGACCTAGCTGGTCACTCCATCCTGGGAATTCCGTCAGCTTCCAGGAAGGCAGTCACTGCCCTTGCATGGTATGGACGCGCATTGTCATCCATAAGCAGGAATTCTGGCCATGTTGCACCTGCATATAGACAAACAATGGGTGCAAGGATCTCATATCTGTATCTTAGGACGGTGAGACTTCCATTTCGGATGATTACAAGGTCGATACAGCCTGAAATTGAAATGCCTCCACACACCATGACTGAGCCTCCTCCAAAGCGATCATGTTTGATGACATTATGAGGAAAATTGCGCTCACCAGGGCGTCTCCAAATTCGCCTGCGTCTGTCAAAAAATTCCACACAGTAACGGGACTCGTCAGTGAAGCGTACGCCCCCCCCCATTGTTGCGCAGTCCACATTCTGTGTTCTCTAGTCCACTGCAGTCGTGCCTGCCTCTGCTGTTGGCTTAAAAGAACTTGAACAGCTAGACTGAGCTTCGTGAAGACGTCTGTGTAGATATTCGGACTCCTATGAGATCTTGGAGGGAGTTACGGAGGTTAACAGCTGGCGCAAGGCGATTCCTTCAGCCTGGATAGTCAAGTAGCGGTCTTGTTGTGGAGTTGTTAGTTTCTCCTTCCTCCACCATGTCCCCTATTGACTCTGCCAAACTATCTGAACCTGTTACAGGCTGTGGACACCACACTTTGGGATGTGCCATGAGCAGCAGCAACCCTGAGTTGAGTCATGCCTCCCTGCAGCATCCCAACAGCCCTGTTAAATTTTGTAAGGGAAAGATGATGCCTTTGATCTAAACGAGGCATTTTCTGCACTGCATAATCTCAATCAGACCAATTTTAGCATGCAGTGATCAGTGATATCAAATAAAGGGCCTTACAATTTCACTGTATGATATAACAGAAAATAGCTTAATTCAGAAACGATATAGGTTTAAAATTGAATCCATATTTTTACTTTCATGATAAATTTTATGCACTTGGCACTATGCTAGGTGATCTCACAGAAGGTCTTTACTTTAGGCTTATTATACCAACACTCACTATACTTACAAGGTTTCACGGCAAATCCCTCCTCCTCACCTTTAGTTTGCACCCCTGTCACTAAAATCGTAATGGTCAAACACTAATCGAACTATTCTGTCTGGATAAATGCAATATGAGTTATATGACTTCTTCTATTTCAAAAAATCAAATGTGACATGACGTGAAACATATTGGCTTTTGTATAAGTTAGATATTTTTGTGCACCAGCAATGCCAAACGTGTGGCAGCGTATACCCGATTCTATTTTATTACTCATCAGGATATCTATCAGCCTACCCTCAAATTGAAATTCTTTTAGGCAGGATTAGAATAAATTAACTTATGAGCCATTGGGCGTGATCAAATACATCAATCGAAAGGGTTTGACCTCCTGGGTCGAAAAACAGTGATATAAAAATGTAATAACGTAAAAAAAAGTGCATACTGAATGTATTCATACATACATATAAGCATTCAAAAACTGCAGCCCCCGGTGGCTCAGTTGTAAGTCTGAAGGCTTATAATGCTAAAAATCTGGTTTCGATACCTGCATAATTACAGCACAGATAGATCATTGTGTAACTTTGCACTTAACAACAAACAAATACAAAAACTAAAAAAAAACCGTTTCTGTACGTTTTTAATATAAGTACGTTTATCACTGCTTGGTGTGATTATCGGTTGTCCCATATTACCAATCAGCATACTGATATTGAGACAAGATCAGAGAAAAACTAATAGATGATATTCATAAACATCAGTCAGTTAGAATTATTTAAAAGGTGGCTTAATTCGGGACGCAGTTAATCTCTATATACAACTTATTAAAGGTTACTGACCCATTACAACTTTCAATCTAGTAAGGTTTCAATATTCTGGATATTTATGACAGTTTTAAACTCAATGATGTCTGTTACTGTCAAAGCACTGAATTCACGTACTTATCCGTAGAATAAATAATTGGTTGTGTGAAAAAACTCGTAACTCATCTTCTTCAAGTTTATGTTTAATAAAACACAGTTTTAACAGTTTTCCTCCAGCGATTTATTGTGCGTTAAACGATGAAACGTTTGTGAACGTATTCGGGAAGAACATTCGAGCAAGATCTTTATCCAAAACAATGCAAAAATTCTGGGATTCTGCTTATAGATAACGAGGAAAATATTTCTTTGAATAGGTTTTTAAAATGATTCTCGCACAACTATTCGTAAAAGACCTTTAAAAAAAAAAGAAGACGAAAAACAAAACCAGCGAAAATCGAACTTTTAGTTTTGTAGGCATGGGCGCAGGGTAGTTAGTCAAGTGTATATATCTTTCTTGAGTTGGCAACCGTGTTTCGCGTGCAAATAACCCATCATACCATTAAGTTTTCAGCACCATCGTGGTCGTTTCTAGTTAAAAGCGACCCTTTTGTCAGCTGGTCTTTGGCTTATTTGATTAAATAAGAGTACGTTATATGAAAGAACAACTTTTTTTTTTTTGCTTCTTCTGTTTTCTTGTTCTAATGAGGCTTATCCTTTTATTTCATAATCTTTTCATATACAACATCATTTCTGTAGGGTTTCTCTATAACAATTCTCCTTTTGCGTGATAGTTTTTTCCCCCTTTGAAACCTCTTATATTTGGTTTTAAAAAAAACAGTTATAAAGCACTGGTTGATAACAACCCGATGTGAGATTTTACAATTTTTCTAGGAAAATATAGTACTACATAATGTGTCAAGTTAATGTTGTATTTGACAAAGAACTTATTTTGCTGCACTCTTACGAAATCTGATTTATTTGTTTTTGTGGTCACCACATTTTACGAAGTTTGATAAAACTTGGCATTTTTATTACTCCATTTTGACTTCCTGTCGCACGACGTCCTTGAACAAACAAAGAAACATTTTTATACCAAACATGAGGAAATGAACACAGCAGTATTTTCGCACTGTGCATGAGCACATGATTACAACAGTATCTTTGTACAGGGCATGATGACATGATTATAACAGTATTTTTAAACTAAACCAGGCAATGACCACGGGATTACAGCAGTATCTTTGTACCAGACATGAACACAAAATACCAGTAATTTTGTTCCAGGCATGACCACATGATTACAACAGTATTTTTAAAGCAATGACCACATGATTATAACAGTGTTTTTATGCTAGGCACGACCACATGATTACAACAAATTTTTTGTACCAGGAATGAGCACACGAACACAGCAGTATTTTTGTACTAGTCATGAGCATATGATACCAGTAATTTTGTAGCAAGCATAATCATATTATCACGGCAAGTCTGTCTTGCGGATTGAAGGAGCGGAGACACCATATTGTGTGTCAAATAAGCTTAGTATTGTGTTATCGGCATCGCTTTAAACATATAATATAAACCTTGTGTTTCCCCAGCAGTGTGACGTCAAAATTTAATACCACTGTCTCATGGCAACCTTAAGGACAGATGAAAAGAAAACTTCGATCACAAGTGCCCGTTGATCTTTACTTGCCTTTATAATATTTATATACTGTATATAACTTTCCGAGTCACCGAAGTCACACAGCATTCCGGGATCTTCCGAACTGTTAGGCCTGTATATGCCTTTATGTTTTTATATATATAAATATTCTTAGCAGTTTTGCTTGAATTTACGTAAACATTGTATGCTGTTAAACATATAACCTTTTGGATTATTAC